AACTACGAGCTCCTCACGGTGCCCGCGATGGTTGAGATCACCGACGGCCGCCGGCCCATTTTGCTGCAGTTTGACGCCAACAGCGTCGTTCACCCGCTCTGGGTGCTCATCGAGGTACCGAACTCCTTGGCCAGCTATCGTCTCATGGCACGCAGACGGCGCTGAGCCTTGGCATCCGAGACGCCGACATCTGGTACTTTTCGCTCGCGGCGCCCGACGTCGTGCCTGCTTGTCTCCGCGCGCTCAAGGACGCGTGCGTGCACGGTGGCTGGCTCATTCTCCAGGTCGATTGATACCTGCCGTTTGAATATTCCAAGTCTGACATTTCCGAGCGATAGGATGTCGCGAAGCTCTCGGCCAGCGATCTCATGGACCTCAACCGCCAGTTTTCGCTGCTGTCAAACGGCGATCTCTCGATCCACAGCGACTTTCGCCTCTGGTTGGTCGACGAGGCGCCGTCGTCGCTCCTCGCGCGGCTTCCGAGCGCCAAGCTGCACACGTTCTTCTTCAACATTGTGTTTACGCTCCAGAACCCGCTCGAGGCGAGTGTGTCGCCGACGCGTCACGCGCTCCACCTCTTCCACGGGATAGCCCTCTCGGGCGCGCATGGCATCCACGTCGCATCGCCGTTCCACGCGCCTGTGACGCTCTATGAGCTCGAGAAGGCAGAGTTTCTGCTCGAGTGCCTCGGCGACACGCACGGGCTCTCGAGCGACGAGCTCGCATCGCTGATCGCGCCGCTGTATCACGGCAAGAGCTCGGATCGTAGTGTTCAAAAACAGTGGAGTGCCCTCGCCCGGTACATCTTTCAACTCGGGACGGCACGCGATGCGGGGGAGCAAAGCCATTGGCTCAGTCGGCTTCAGCGCGGCCTGCGCCACCACGCAACCACGCGTGGCACCAAGGGTGCAACCTTTCGTGTACCCGACGGCTTTTCATCATCGGTCTGTCTCTAGACGGCACGCGCCGATCCTGCGACGTGCTCTTACCGGTCGACACCAAGATCTCAGCGGCCACCATGGGGCTCCCTTACTCGCTCGACGCCTATTTCGAGACGCAGACGATGCTGGCTGTTGCCTCGACGCTCACGCAGTCGCACGGAGTACTGTCGATTGGTGCTTCGATGCGTCGCTGACGGGACGTAGGCACTGCATAACGAATGCAAGGTGCTCTCGACACCCGTCGCCGACCTCGCCGACGCGCTTTTGGTACGTCGTCGTGTTGGCGCCGAATGGCGACGGCAATGGTGTGGTAGCTCCAACTGCCGCGCGAGTCGGTTTTTACGCATTGCGACGCGCGCAGCACGTTTCTTAATCGCAAGTGGCCGTCGCGCGTGCACAAGGCCATCTACAGCGAGCTCGTGCAACTGGAAACGTACGTTGGGCAACTGCGGCGGGATCTGCGCTCGCTCTCGCACGAAACAGCAAGTGCCATCGCTTCCCAGCGGGTACCGCCGGCGTGGCTGCGAGCGGGGTACGCTTGTCCAACGACGCTGGTGCGGTTCGTGGCGTGGGCGCAGTCGGCCGCGTCGTTTTATCTGGAGTTCCTGCACACGCAGCGACTTCCCGCTCTCCAGCTTCAGTTTGTCGCCCACCCGCGAGGTGCGAATGGATGCTCATGGGATTGCGAATTCCACACTTCACGACGACATAGCGGTGCTCTTCGCCCTCCTGGTCGCCCACGCCAGAAGCACGGGCGTCGACATCTCGGAGCTGTGTCTCGCAGTCGTGCCTCCGTCGACACCAACGGCTACGAGTCTCCGCAACCTCTTTCTGCGCGTACGACGATCGAGCATCTGCAGCAATGCCGTCGATCCCTTCATGTTGATGCTAGAACGCGCGGTGGGACGGGACCAAGCACATGCTCTGCGAGCTGGCGAGCGACGACTGGCTCATCCAAGGCAGCCTCTCGCTACAGTACGAGCCTTTCATATCTGCGTGGTGTCGTCACCACTCGCGGATCGTAGGATCGCGGCGTGCCGAAAGTCCGATCTCCGAGGGTTCTTGCCTGCCCTGTGTACCGCTACTACGCATCCAGCGGCGCTGGCCCGTCGACATGGACGAGCCTCCTCCATCTCTACTTCCCGACGACCCGAAGAGACGACG